TTATCCTCCTGAAGAAACAGTACAAACGTCTTTCACAAAACCAGGAAAGAGAATTCACTAGGGCTTCCTGGCAGCAATCACAGCATCTCAAGCCAGAAACTCCACTCTATTCCGGGACCTGATAGCTTTCCATCCAATTGACAAGCCCCTTTCACTTCCTCACCTTTCACCTGCATTGGATTGATTTACTGCATATATTGGCAGATGAGCAAGCGGGCTTCAGGTCTGGACATTCTATTTGTGAATAGAATGCAGGTGTGGGAGGACCACTTTAGAGCATTATATTCACAAGAAGAAGCTCCTAAATTTGACTTACATATTTATGGTAACCTGTTCCCTAACTGGGCTCCAGCCACAAGTGCTGAAATAAAGGTGCTCATAAATCAGCTAAAGCCTGGTAAAGCTCCAGGCAATGACTTGATTACGCCCAAAATACTATGCAATAATTTGGAATGGTGGACCCCTGTTCTTGCTTCCCTGTTTACTTATATCGATTGCACTGTACAAATACCAGAGGACTGGGGTATAGCCATTATCGTGCCCATCTACAAAAGGGCTCCTGAGACCTGGCTGCTAATTATAGGCCTATTAGCCTGTTAAGTGTAATGAGGAAGCTCTGTGCCAGACACTTATGCAACACATTAGTTGATTGGATTGATTTACTGCATATATTGGCAGATGAGCAAGCGGGCTTCAGGTCTGGACATTCTATTTACGGACATGGCCTCATACTTCAACATCTGGCCGAAAAACAAACATCTAAAACAGAATCAACACTATATACCGCATTCATTGATTTTAGGTCTCCATTTGATCTAGTTCCCAGAGCAAGGCTTTGGACCAGGTTCTTGCATATCACCATCAATATGTAAGGTTTACCCCGTTCGACTCAGAGAAACTCTCGTGACACATGTGTTCAGCAAAGAAGTTTACTCAAGCATAATGTGAGTAAGTACAGACAAAGCCAGGATTGGCTTGGCACATCTTATAGCACAATTTATAGTCACCCCGTTCCCGTGCTTAGCCCCCGTTGCTTGGTTACAGATTACCCGCAGTAATCCCCCCCTTTACTCAAATGGCAGATTCAGCCCAGTTCTTTTGTTTCTTGATTGCTTTTTTCCGATGGTGTGGTCGTTGTCTTCGTTGGGTCTTTCTGGTGCGCGCAAAGCTGGGAGTTCTCAATCACGTGCTGATTGCTTTGTCCTGAGCCGCTGCTCTCTCCTTTGTCTGCAGCGCTCGAGGCAAATTGGCATTGACACAAAGTATCTGCTTGCGGTTTAGTTAAGCGGCCCCAGCTGGCCCATTAATCAGTTCGCGGTTTCTCACTTCCCCTTTTCCTTTGCTGGCGCTTGGGCAGTGAAACTGACTACAGTAGGCACGGCTGGGCAAGTCCCTAGCCGTGCTGTGCCGGCTGAATCTGACACGATAGACGGTTACTATTGCTTATGCACAATCTCTATAAGAACTCTAGAATCAACGTTCGATGCCGTATGCAAGGCCACCACAATAATGAGATTCCAACTCACAGACCAGTGAGGCAGGGATGTAT